CCACTTGCCGCACACGCCCCTGCGACTGCGCATCGGCCTGCACACGGGGCCGTGTTGCGCCGGCGTCGTGGGGCTCACCATGCCGCGGTACTGCCTGTTCGGGGACACCGTCAACACGGCCTCCCGGATGGAGTCTACAGGTAAGGCTTTGTCTGAAACGGTCGACGTTGTTTGTATAAAACTACAAGTGCCGGGTGTATTGGAGCGGACGCAGCACAGTTTTGTGGGCTTGCCCACTCCCTCCGCCTGTTAGTCACCCGTCCCGTGGCCCAAAAGCGTGTGCAAACCCACAACACTGTAGGCGTCCTCTCTGATACACCCGGTACTTCATATGCACACGCATCATCATTATGGTCCTGATATGAAACATTTTTATTTGTTGTTGTTTTTTGCAGGGTCTGCATGGCGTATACACATATCGGAAGCAACGAAGAAGAAGCTAGATGAGTTTAACGCTTACAGCATCGAGTATCGTGGCATGACTGAGCTCAAGGGAAAGGGACTGATGCCCACGTACTGGTTGCTGGGAAAGAAAGGCTTCGACAAAGAGATGCCCATCCCGCCACCCATAGGGTAAGTCCAACTCGAAGTAGTTCCCCACTTACCCAACAGCTTTTCACGACCACTGTCGATTAATTTACTCTGTTTGGCTTTGGCTTCTCTTTGCGCCTGGTTCTTCAGAGAAAGTCACGGGTAAGACCATTGTTTTCTAAGAAACTTCGTGAAAACCCTGAAATATTGCTGGGATCTAATACTGATACCCACTCTACCTTCTGTCGCTAGGCTGGACGAGAGCCTACTGCTGCCGCCAAAGGTGGCGGTTCCCGCTCCCTCTGGCAGTGCGGCTCTGAGCGACCTGCAATCTGCGGCTGTCAAGCGAAGGTCGTTCGAGTCGTGCAGCTCCGGGGAGGCACAGCAGTCGCAGCAGTCTATGGACGTGGGCGTCGGGAAGACGCCGCTGCAGGCCGCCATCTCGGCCGGCGACGCGGAGAGCGCGGAGAAGCGCGCCAGCAGGTACGCGAGGCCCGAGGCCGTAGGTCACGAGATGAGAGTGATCCATCCACGAATCGACCGTCGCGTCACACTGACCCTGACCGCTCCCCCTCTGCCGCAACAGGATGTTGGTGTGCGCGTCCATCGACAACGAGAGGACGCCGACGAGGCGCGGGTCCCTGCAGCTGGCCACGGAGAGCGCCAAGATCAGCCTCTACACGATGAGCATCAGTGACAGCAGGTCCGGGTCCAGGGACAACCAGGACCACGAGGTGGAGCCAGAGGTGCACGTGCAGGTTGGCGCGCCGGCCGCGCCGGTCGTGGCGGCGGCGAGCAGCAACCCCACCACGCCCCTGCCCCTCACCAGCGCCTCCCGCTCCGAGACGGCGCCGTCGGCCGTGTCGTTCATCACGTCGCCGGGCATATCGACGCCCTTCTCCACCTCGGAGGTACGCGATGGCGCCTTGGCGCGCCAGCCTCAGTCGGCTGCCCCTACCGCTACGGTTGTGATTCATGAGGGTCTTTGCTCGCAGGTGGCCGTCGACCTGCTCGGCGTGTCGTTCCTCAACCCGCCGGGCACGTGGCGCAGCAGCAGCACCAACCTGAGCGGGCCGCCGCGCGCCAAGAAGCCCAGCGCGTTCCTGGAGGAGGAGGACCTGAGCTCGGGGTTCAACCACTACCGGTGCCTCGCACCGCACGAGCCTCCGCAGTCCCGGGTCAGCAACCTCAACTCGCTGGGTCGCGGCTTCCTCAAGCGGCAGTACAGCCTGGACCGCGGCGACGACCCCGCGGGCGGCTCGGGGGCAGGCGGCGGGGGCGGCCCCGCGGGTGGGCCGGGGGCGGGGTCCGGTACGGCGGGCCGGGGGCTGCACAAGCAGAACTCGGCGGGGGCGGCGCACGACCTGCAGCGCATTGAAGAGGTGCCCAGGGAGAGGCTGCCGCCCACCCCCGCGGTGCTCGTGCGCCCCCGCGACCTGTCCAACGTGTCATCCAAGTCTGTCTCAGCGGAGTCACTGGCGTAGGTACGGACGCTCAATTGTGTTATTCAAAGATTACCTCGTGTGTCGAAGTTTTACGGCACCGCGACGATACGCTTATTACGGATATTGTGTCTTACGTATTCAATGATGGTCCTCTCCCCTATAAATCCAATTTCCCCCTTATATGATTTATTTTGTTACTACCGAAAATTTACGTGACGGTGCAGAGGGCAGGGGGCAACAAAGCAGCTCTGTTCACTGACTCAAAAGACAATCTTAACATAAATGTATCCCAGTGGGTCACAATGGTCTTTACTCTCTTTGTCTACCGTTCTTACAACCAGCTATATTCTCCTGTAATGTTTTTGTCAGAGAGTGTAGTGGAATTCATGTGGAAATTTTGTAAGGATGGGTTTTGGCACAAAGACCAACTGTGGCATGCATGTAAGATGATTTAAGTAGGTACTAAATTCTTCTTAAGCATGAACCCCTCGGCCTAATTGTTATTTTCAATGTTCTGATAGTGCAACCATGTTTTAGGTTAAAAAGTAGTTTGTTTCTGTTATTGTTTTTTTTTATGAGAATCTTAAATATTTGTTGAATCTCCGTATTATGAACCTGTAAACGTGCCTGCATCATCCCAATATTTTGGGGGCCCGCTAAGAATCACCAAATTTTATCGAAGTTTATGGCGGAATTAAGGTGGCTTGGATTTACAATAGCAACGCGGCAAGCGTAGCTCTTCCGCTAGTGTTAAAACAACGCTCTGTAGATCCTCTGATCCTCCCCCCCCCCTCCTCACCTACCCTGTTCTGACCACTTCCCTGCGTTAATTCAACGCTATCGTTGAAGATACGCTCGCTGCGTTGCGATCGTAAATCCCCCTCAAGTCTCTTAGGCGAGTCGAGGCGCCTGGCGCCTTTCGGTGACTCTCAATGAGGCGCCTCAGCTGACGTGGGGACATTTTGGCATGCCAAAAATCACAGTCCTCAAAACCTACAAGAGTTAATTCACTATTAAACATTTTTGAAATTAATCTGGATGATGCACTCAATGTTGATTGTCGGTGTGTGGCTACACTGTGGTCCTTTCATGTCAGTTAACATGTGTGTCACATCAAATCATTAAGGACATGAAAAAAAAAAACCTTCTGAATCTCATTGGTCTTTTAATTTCAATATCCAAATTATGTTATGGCGAAGAGCTGTGACAATAAATTGAAAATTCATTAACATGTATTAACTTGACTGAGAAGTGTTAACATTTGTGGTATATGTGCCGAAAAGAAAAAAGGTTTACCAAAAGAAAGAGAAGCAAAAGTACAATTATGAAATTAGTTAAATTGTAAATAAACAATTTCCACTTTTTAAAAAAAGATTGTACATTGAGTGCTAAGTATTACTGTACTTCATAGGCAGATTCTCCTTCATCTTGACTAGGATTTAGATAACTCCTTTGATGGTATATTTTCTCGATGTTATGATAGGTTCCTATAATAGAGAATATTGCTGTCTATCAATCTGTGCAAATAAGGTTACACAGACCCTTTCTACTTGTGTGTGATATGTTGTTAAAAAAATAAAACGTTTTCAAGAAAAGTCAGCTTGTACGTGTTTACCAATTTTAGGAGATAGGCCCAGTACCTCTAAGGGAAATAAGTCATCTGAGCTGCGTCGCAACTATGCGTCGTGTCCACCGCGACTATGACGGAGTGCAGCCCCACTCACAGGGGGCTCGAAAAGTAGGGCCGTGAGTAGGTGACTGTAACGGTATGGTATATCTCTAATTATGGCCACAAACATGTGGCCACAAATCCGCGGCCAGAGTCAGCTTAATCCGTCCCGACTATAGAAAATATTTTTTTTGACGCCTCTAGGGTTTAAGAAGTCGCTGCTCTGCGGATAGTCCCTAACAAGCCCTAACAAGCCGAAAGCACCGGACGCAACAAATACCATAGGGCACGGGAGCCCCCAACCCACAGAGACACGTCCCTGTTTGTAGCTACACGATTGTAGCTACAACCGACAGTGCCCGAGTCAGCTTAAACTGAACCGTCTATAGACTAATAATCATTACTTCCGCCAATGCTAGAATATCAACCAGAAGTAAACAGCGCTGAGAACTAAAGCGAAAACGAAATATATCAATGCCTTTCCGAAGCTCTCGCCTAGTCCAAGCCCAAGCGCTCGGGGGGCAGAGGGCAGGGGGCCGCGGCGCGGGGGCCCGATTCAGGAAAGCATTGCCTGCCTACCCCCCAGGTGTTTTCAGCGACAACCATCGACCCCCACGCCTAGATTGACATGTCCTCACTTCTTAGCTTTAGAAAGGATGAGCCTGGGGTCAAAAGGAGCCTAAACCCAAAGTCCCCGTCACGACAGACGCCTTAAAGAGAAGCCGTGGCCTACCTCGCATGCGTCCAAGCGACAACTCGTGTCGCGGCGACAAGTGATAGTAGACACGTCCCTGTTCATGGACACAAAAATGTGGTCACAAATGGGGCAACATACGATGTCCAACGCCACCAGCCACACGGCCCTTTTGTAGTTAAACAGTTGTAGCTACAGTCGTCATGACCGCATGCAGCTTCATCCGAACCAAAACTGTCGGCCCTAAGATCAACTCCCGGCCGGGGCAAATTTTTTTCTTTGTCACTTTTTGTCACCCGTTAGGCAGTACCGAGCTCAGACCTCGGCC